CCTCAAACAAAGAAAAAGTTGAGGTACAGAAATAAGTTACCTATGCAAGTGACCAACACCACAGCATCAGTTTTGAAGTGAGTAAAGCGTAAATCATGGACTGGTTTCGCAGTGGTGTCTATATCCAGAGATCTCGGAGTTAATGTAGACGATGCATCAGCAGGCTAAAATATATTTTTAATAAAGCCAAGGTATAAGTATATACTCAGAATTACCGAGATTGTATACTTTGCCGGTGCAACCATCTTACAGAACTTTCCATCTACTCCTGGTCGGATAGAAACAGTATCGGTGTTATCGACGCGCTTCAGTATAAGAGGTGAGGCAATCTGCTCAGAAGCTGATTTTTCCACACTTCCACATACTTCAAATCTGTAACAGTATTTCAACAACTAGTAGATGGTATCAGTAGCAAGGAGATCTAAAGATTATAATTAAGAATGAAGTAAGGTCATGGAACGCTTACCCTTCGACCTTGACGTCGCTGATTTTGATGTGTGGTAGCTTTAAGATGCTCTTTTCCACACTAAATAAAGCATGAGGGGCTTGAGCAGTAATCTCAATTGATCCTTCCTGAAAAATAGCTTATTTCTTCTGAGCTTCTTATTCCCAACAGAAGATGAGAGCCGATTTCTAATAAGATTAACACATCCGCTCCAATAACATTAACATAAACTGTATAATGGTTGAAAAGCATAAGGATTATAATTCAAAACTGCAATTAAAAGCAGTGTTCAGGATTAAGGAGAGTCATCATCAGATAACGATGGCCGACTCTCTAAGTAAGCTACTACCCATTCAGGCAATACTTCGCCGTGGTAGAAAATCATTGGGCGTTGGGGTCCTCGCCCATTCGGTGACTTTCTTGAGCACAGCCTGTGTTTGCCTCCTCTCAAAAAAATGCTTTCTACCGAGAAAGGCATGCGATCGTACCAAAACTCGAAAATTGTAATCTTCCTCCTACCACCCGTCTCTGTCAGTCCAAAGAGGGTCCCAAATCTAAGGGGTTTTTGACAATTTAACGGCAACTGCAATTGCTTTTTGTAATCAGCACACCGAAATTATTTGAAACGGGTGGAAAACTCGTTGTCGAAAATTTGCCGGGGAACTGTCTTTAAGACTGGAAAATCCTAAACATGAATTTGGTGAAAAACGCTCCACTATGTTCGGCACGAGTTTAGT